CGAGAAGAGTTAGTAAGTAGATTAATAGAAACGGCAGAGATGGACAAATTAAGTCTTATGCTGCAAGGTAAAGACGGTAGTGTGTTCGTGGAAAGATGGAAGCGTCTGTATGAATGGATTAATTCAATGTGAGGACTTGAGACTCCAATGTATGCAGGAATACCTATGTAAATGGATGTATATTTGATGGGAAAAAATGAAAATAAATATTGGGGGGGGGAGAGAAAAGAGACAACTCAGGGGGGACATGATAGAGGTTTACAGAATTATGCATGGGGTGGGGAGAGATGACAAAGGGAACTTTTTCTCCCTCTCCCGGAAATACTAGAACTCGAGGGCATCCAAGGAAGCTGATGGGCAGTAGGTTCAGGACAGACAAAAGGAAAGACTGCTTTGCACAGAGAGTGATTCCAATGTGGATTTCACTGCCAGAGGGTGTAGTGATGGCTACAGGGAATGAGATAAGATTCATGGAGGATAAATGTATCATTGGCTACTAGTATGGTGGCGGAGGGGTACCTCCACACTCAGAGGCACTAAACCTCTGAATCCCAGAGCCAGGAGGCAACATCAGGGGAAGGCCTCAGCCTCCATGCCCTGTTGTTGGCCCTCCAGAGGAACTGGTTGGCCGCTGTGTGAGGAAGGATGCTGGATGAGACGGACCCACGGGTCTGGTCCATCAGGGCTCTTTTTAGGTTCCTGTCAGGGGAAGGCCTCAGCCTCCATGCCCTGTTGTTGGCCCTCCAGAGGAAGTGGTTGGCCACTGTGTGAGGCAGGATGCTGGACTAGATGGACCACTGGTCTGGTCCAGCAGGGCTCTTCTTAGGTTCCTGTCAGGGGAAGGCCTCGGCCTCTATGCCCTGTTGTTGTCCCTGCAGAGAAATTGGTTGGCCATTGTGTGAGACAGAATGTTGGACTAGATGGCCCACTGGCCTGGTCCAGCAGGGCTCTTCTTAGGTTCCTGTCAGGGGAAGGCCTCGGCCTCCCATGCCCTGTTGTTGGCCCTCCAGAGGAAGTGGTTGGCCGCTGTGTGAGGAAGGATGCTGGACAAGACGGACCACTGGTCTGATCCAGTAGGGCTCTTCTTATGTACTTATATGGAAGAAGTGTCCTGGTGGCTGCCGCAGCTATAGAAAAACCAGAGAAGTCTGTGTGTGGAAAACACCTTCATAATCCTCTCTGAGCATCGAACAAAGCACTGTGTTCCAGTGTGCGGGCTGATCCTGCCGCCACCCCTGTTCACTGACTCATTCCCCAGCCACAAACGTCTCTGTGTGCAGAGGAGCTGCCCTGGAACGATTGAGGCCTCAGAGACTTTGCCAGTCACACCCACACACATACCCTTGAGTCAGGTTCCTCCCAAGCCTTGCGTCTGTACAGGGAGCCTGGTGCCTTGTGGCCGAAGAGAGCCTTCAGGCCATCCCACCATCCCCAAATAACATCCGCTCCCTCTCCATTTGCACCAGACAAAGTCAAAGGTCAACTTCGGATCTAGGCCATAGGGTGTGGGGAAGGCCCCGTGTCAAATCCAGGGTGGGGAGATGCGATAGGCAGGTCAGTTCTCCCGCCCCTCCCTCAGAACAGGATTTGGTCTGATCACGGCCTTCTTCTTTCCTAGACGGAGCCCTCACGCTCTCTGTCCCGGGTGAAGTTTCCTTGGAAAATGGCAGCGTGACGGACATCACCGCCACTTTGAGGTGAGCTTATATGTGTACGTTCCATTTCTGCGACGGGAGCACAGGAGAGTTGGAAGGGAAGCAAAGCCAAGAGCTGGGAAGAAGAAGAGTGGGTTTTTATACTTTGGACTGGGAGGCGGAATCAAAGTGGCTTCAAGAATGGAAATCTGGGAGACATGACCAATGCTCCCTCTAAGCTGTGGCGTCTTGTGAGCAAAAATTCTGCTTGGTGAGCTACCGGCATTAACGTTGTGAGCGAGCCATTTAGCAACTGCATAGATCAGTTTGCTTTGGAGCCCTCCTTCCTGAGCTCAGACAAAAACGTGTGAGACGGAGGCTAAAGAACTGTGAGCTAGCTCACACCATCTCAGCTTTAGAGGGAACACTGGACATGATTTCCCTGAATCAGCCCAAGAATTGATTGGGTGCTTGATTCCGTGGCCCTGATTCCTCTTCCTCTGCTGTAGTACACCAGCCAAGGAGACCCTGGTGATCACGTTTAATGTCACGTATTGGTCCAAGAACACAACCATCGTCGAACTGCCTGATCAAGTAAGTCCTAGAAGGAATGTCCGGGTTCAAAGGTGGGCCCTTCTCGTGCTCGCCAACGACTCTGATGTCCTGCCTGTGTCTGCCTGACAGGTAATAATACCTGTGGGCCTAAAGAAGACTGACTTCCAGGTGAGAGCCGAAGATGTTGGGCAGGTGACTGCCTATCTTCACGCCAACCAAACCGACCTGAACGGGTAAGCTGAGCTCTCGGGCGTCCCCAGTAACAGTGCTGTAACCACCCTGTTTTAGAGCACCCCCGATTTTTTAAAAAATTAAAATGCCCTCGGCCCCTAATCTCTGCAGGGCCTCTCTGTTCTTGCAACGCCCTTCTCTCCCAGCACTCGGTTCCTGCGTCTGTGTCTACAACTGATCAGCAGACACGCGCTGTTGGCTGATCAACTCTCATAACAGTGCTACCGACGGCGCAGAGGAGAATCCACCTGTTGACATTCCCTCAACAGGCCGAGAATCCGGTTCCTCGTGATCCACAGCAGTGCTTTGAGGACTTTAGACCAGGTGATCGGTTGGATCTACTTCTTCGCCTGGTCAATCTCCTTCTATCCCCAAGTGTTTGAGAACTGGAAACGCAAAAGGTAACCTGGAAGGTCGCGGGGGGAGGGGGGGGGGGGAGAAGGAAGCCGCTAAGGGCAGAGGATGATTGGCCGGCTGCCACAGAAGGGGGTGATGGGAGAGGAGCACTCTCTCCCAGTGAAGTCAGCGACAAAAGCTCTGGGCTGTGGCTTGGGCTGCTCTGGAGGCGGCCAAGGAGGAAATTCGTGAACCTGCTTCCTTTCCAGAGAATGAGATCGAATGCCAGACTCTTTTAAAGTAAAAACGTTGGGTTTTGTACAAGGTTTCCAGCAGAGGGCGCTCCCAGACAGAACCATCACATCGACAGACCTGGCCTTCCCAGCATCTGTTTTTTATCAGGCTTGTTTTTAAGATTAAATGTCATGTGTTGTTCTTCTTATTTGGGAGCCCCCTCAAACAGCTCTCTGGAGATGTGGCATATAAGTCCCCTAATCTATGAAATAAATGGCTTCCCCTACCTGCTCTGAAGTGCAACACGTACAATATCTGAGCCATACTAACACCCAGCCCAAGTCCTCCTCTGCTTCTCCTTCTGGTGTTCTACCGACGGCACTTTTCAATCTCACATCCACACCCATGAGGTCTAGAAACATTGCTTCTTGCTTTAATGGAGAGCAGAGATTCTCAGGATGTCTGCTAGCTACTGGCCTTCTCCTCGTGTGTCGGAACGTGCCCTCCCTGGACGTGCCTTTTATTTTGACTCTTCTGTGCCTTTTCACCAGCGTCGTGGGGCTCAGTTTCGATTTCATTGCTCTGAACCTTACGGGCTTCATCGCCTACGCAGTCTTCAATGTTGGGCTCTTCTGGATTGGCTCCATTAAGGTAGGCGGGCCGGGCGGGTGTCCTTTCTTCCTTTAGCACAGTCCATCTCCCAGAAAGCTCTGGGCCACTGACTCTCTCTTCATTTCCCTGCGCAGGAGCAGTTCCTGCAGCTGTATCCCAACGGAGTGAACCCCGTGGACAGCAACGACGTGTTCTTCAGTCTCCACGCAGTCGCTGTGACCCTCTTCATAATCTTCCAGTGCTGTATTTATGAGGTTGGCTGCTCTACAGTTATGGGGGGGGGGGGGGGGGGGAGAGTTCGCTCATACCTGCAAAGAATAAGATGGTGATGGAGCGGACGTTCCTTTGGGTATTAAACTCCTCGCAGTTAGAAAACTAGTGGAGCAGGGGAGAGACGTTCCACTTCTGCTTGCTGTGCTGGTTTTTCTGCTTGCAGGGAGTTTAACAGAAGGGAGGGTTCCCAAAACTGACCATCCCGCCTGCAGTCTTGGGCAGTCCATTCTATCACCTTATTCTGCTGCATGTGTGAACCAGGCCCTTAGAGTGCCGGTGAGGCCATCTCTCTTGAATGGCACCTGGTACTGTAACGGACACAACATTAAGTCACTAGAAAGGGTGGCTATTTAAAGCTAGGGTTGCCAACCTCCAGGTAGGGCCTGAGGATCTCCTGGGATGACAGCTGATTCCCAGGTAGCAGAGATCAGATCCCCTGGAGACGACGGCTGCTTTGGAGGGGGGACTCTGACATTAAACTCCCCAGCCTCTGCCCCTGAATGTCCCAACCTGGGGCTGGCAAGTGCATTTATAATGCACTCTCCCCCATATATGGCCCTTTACAGCATCAGTAAAAAGGATACTTTGCTTCCGCTCTGATGTTTGAGAGTTAGGAGAGATGAGGATACTGGGGAGATACTGACCCCCCCCCCCATAGCCCGGGAGGCCTGCAGTGGTGAACCTGGAGGCCACCCAGGGGAAGAGTTATAGTGTCACTGTGTCAAAAAAGTTCCTCTACAGATTGCTTGTTGGCACACACCGCTTAACCAGCTTGTATTTAACTGCCATGTGATATTAAAGGTAAAGGTTTCCTTGCTCGAAAGCCAGTCAAGTCCGACTGTAGGGTTGCGGTGCTCATCTCTGTTTCAAAGCCGAAGAGCCAGCGCTGTCCGAAGACGTTTCCGTGGTCATGTGGCCGGCATGACTAAACACCAAGGCGCACAGAACGCTGTTACCTTCCCACCGAAGTGGCACCTATTTATCTACAATTTCTTGCTTTCGAACTGCTAGGTTGGCAGGAGCTGGAACTAGAGACAGGAGCTCACTCCGTCATGCGGCAACCCGGGTCTCGAACTGCTGAACTACTGACCTTCCACAGCCTGCAGCTCAGCGTCTTAACCACTTGAGCCACCACAGCTCCTCATGTGATATTAGAATGCTCCAAAAGATATTCTGGGACATGATGGGAGATTTGGAGCCTTAAAAGGGAATGCAAGACCATGTGCAGACCTGATTGGATGACACGGTGCCGGGTGCAAAACTGGTTTCAGGATGGATCAAAGGCTGCTGGGACAGACAGGGCCAAAAGGAGAGTACTCTGTATCTAAAAGCCAGCAGTTGATCAGAGGCTGAGATCTGAAGATTAGGTTAAGGAAACTGGAGGTGAATTTCAGGTGTGCCACTAGGTGGAGTCACTTGAAGGTCACATGTCCTATTGCAGTGGTGGCAAACCTATGGCACACGGGTGCCAGAGGGTGGCACTCAGAACCCTCTCTGTGGGCACGCGTGCCATCGCCCCAGCCAGGCTTAGACTATCCTTAAAGTGTCGAATTCTCTGCCAAATAATTTTAAGTAAATGAAAGCATTTGGGATTGCTTTCCTTACTTTGTTTGGGTCATCTTAAGTTAATGTATGGGTTGTTTTTTCTAAAGTAAAACCTCAGTATTCAGTTTAAATTGCTGTGTTGGCACTTTGCGATAAATAAGTGGGTTTTGGGTCACAGTTTGGGCACGCGGTCTCTAAAAGGTTCGCCACCACTGTCCTAGTGGCTGGGTGACAAGCAACCCCCTCCCCAAAAGCATCACCCCAGTTGAAGAATCCCTGTTAAGGACAATTGAACTTGGTATTTCCCAGACTAGGCTCAAGATGGTGAGAGGCTGTGTTGGTCACGGTAGGATTCCCAAGTAGCTGTGTACTACCGTCCTGCGTTGTTTTGCCTTCCCAGAAAGGGAGCCAGAAGGTCTCCTGGGTTGTCGTCGGGCTGCTGGCCCTCGCCTGGATTTTCGTCTTCGCCACCCTGTTTGTGGCCGTTGTCCGGGAGATCACGTGGCTTCAGTTCTTATTCTACTTCTCTTACATTAAGTTGGGAGTGACCCTCGTCAAGTACTTCCCGCAGGTAAGCTGGCCTCGGGGGAAAACGGGGCGCCAGCGAGTTCACTCCGAATATCCCTCTTTCAGTTTCCTCTCTGTGTGACATGCTGTCAAGGGACTTCCAACTTATGCGACTCTGTGAACAGTAAGGACAAAAAAGGGGGGAAAAGACAACCTAAAACCTAGAATTCAGAACCTATAAAGGTTAGTCAAGAATAGAAGAGGGTCAACTCTTAAAATCTAATTACGAAACCTAAAAAATATACATGTTAGAAGCGTTTAACTTAAGAAACATTTCATTGGGAACATTTGGCTGTACAAGCTCAGGAGAATATATAAGTTGACCAGAGAGAAGTACTACTGGACATGTGATTGCACTGGAGGCTTCATTTGTATTTTTGTATTTCTCTTCTTTGCCCAGTGGTTAAACTCTGGAACAATTGTTTTCTGGTCTCTATTTCATATTCTGTATATGTATGATTGTATATATTTTTACAGATCAGCCCACGTGTTCTATTTGTATTAGACCTCTGAGGAAGGCCTGTAAAGGCCGAAACAAGTTAGGTCTATTTCATCAGCCTTTGTATGTTTTTATATTTGTACATGAGGTATGAATGGGCCCTTATTCGTTATTTTAATTTGTGTTTAATAAATACATGTATATTTTTTTAGGTTTCATAATTAGATTTTAAGAGTTGGCCCTCTTCTGTTCTTGACTGACCTTTATAGGTTCTGGACTCTGTGAACAGGCCTCCAAAACATCCTGTTGTTAACAGCCGTGCTTAAGTCTTATCAGCAGAGGGCCCTTGTGGCTTCCTTCATGGAGTCCGTTCCTCTCCTGTTGGGTCTTCCTCTTTCCCTGCTACCTTCAACTTTTCCTAGCATTGTTGTCTTTTCCAGTAACTCTTTGGTCTTCTCATAAGGTGACCAAAATGTGAACGCCTCAGGTTGTTTTAGTTCAGGTTTGATTTGCTCTAGAACCCACTACCTTTAGCGGAATGAATTCCCTTTATTATTGTTCCAGTTTTTCCTCCTACGTGCCAGATTTGCCCATTAAAAGCCATGCATCTTTCAGCATCATCCCCCCCCCAATCCACATATAAACAGCATAAAAATCAACAGCTTTGACAATGGGGCAAGCTGTGGACGAGAGGCCCCATCTAAACTGGCTGTTTCTCTCCTCCTCACTTTGAAATTACCCAACACAGCTCTAGAAATTTGCCCAGCTGCCTCCCAGCTTGGCAGCTCTTTCCCAAAACAAGAATTTTGGATGTTTCTGGTTCCCAGTAATTCAAAGTGTTTAACAGAACTGATCCCTTTGAAACAAAACCGCCCCAAAGCTATCAATAAATGTCAGGTCACGTGTAAAATAAAACAGCATTTAAAAAGTCACAAGGCCACCTGAAAGGAAGAGATCTGAACCCGTTTTCTAAAATTCAGCAAAGCACAAGGCCAGCAGGGATGTTCTAGAAAGGCATTTCTGGGGCTTTGTTTATGCCGTGATTCTGCCGGAGTGCGCAAAGCCGCAGAATGTGGTATGAAACACACAGCTAGAATTTCATTTTACAAAAACCGTTGCCCTTCAAATTGGCGAACTGCCTGGTGCAGTCATTGATGCTAAACGAGCGCTTGGCAGAATTTGGAACGGTTGAGGAAGGGCAGTGCTTGAATGCCAGCATGATACAAGGCTGTAAAAAAACGCAAACGTGGTACAAATGTATGCTACTTCTATAGGTGTCAGAACTTGGTTTTCCCCCCCGGCATTTTTAATTTGTGCAGAGGACACGGAAGGGTTTTTGGGCCACAGAGAAGGCCCCAATTGAGACAGCCCCAAACTGGACTGACACTTTCTTCTTGCCTTTCATCTAAGGAGACTGGCACCTGTCATTCAGGGTCTCTCCTCTTCTGTTATCCCCTTAACAACCTTGTGAGGAAGGTCAGGGAGAGCCATCCAGCAGACTTCTGGGCCAGGTTATGGAACTGAACCGAGGTCTCCCTGGGTCTTAGCCCGACACTTTCTAACTACTCTCCCCCCACTCACCCGTAGACTGCTATAACCTCTTCTCGATTCAGCAATTTCCTCCGCATGTGTGTGCGGTGTGGTCGACAGCTGCTTCCTTCTCGAGAATCTGTTTCTCATTTCAAAGCAGGAACTTCCACAGTATGTTGCTCAGCTCTGCCTGAGCCGCAGAATGCCGACGTGGGACTTCCCTCCCCTTCCCTCGGAATCCCGTGGGCTTTAATTCAGAGAAGTTGCAGGCTTGTGCCTGGTCACCAGCAGGGTGGAGATGAAATAGCTGCGCAGGCGGGGTGTGTTTGTGTGTGTGTTCTCGTTCAGGCCGTTGCCAGTATGGGTGGGCTGGCTAGTAACCCCAAAGTCTCTCTTATGAGGCCAAAAGGAAAGGCAACCCTGGCTCACTCAGCCGACGGCTCTCCCCTCTTA